GATCTATCTCGTTCTCTGGAAGTGCTACCTGAGGCTCCATCAGCTCCTGCCCCATGAGTAGTTTACGTGGTTTACCTTACTGGTGAGCATTTGGGCCATTCTCTAGTATAACAATGCCTCGCCAGTCTCTGTGCACTTAAGACTGAAGGAGAAGTTTCTAGAGGACGAGGTCAAAGGTATACACACACACACACACACACACATTTAATTTCTGTCATCTCTGCTTCCAAAACGCATGTCCCATCCCCACCTCGGCTGCCACTGCCATCTCGCACCTGCTGCTGCAGCTGCCACTCTTCACCCTCCTTCCATCCTGGCCCTGACTCTCAAAATCCACTTGGTATCCAAGCACCATTGCGATCTATAAAAACAGAAATCAGGTAATGTTCTACTACTTCTCAGCACCGTTCAGTGGCTTCTCATTATGCATAAAACCAAATCCAGACTCTGCCCTGGGGCCTACAAAGCCCTGTCCTGGGTGACCCCTTCCTGTTCCCTGCCCTCCCTCCATTGGGTGCACGCTGCCCTCCAGCCATTGCCGCCTGCTGGCCCGCCTCTGCTGCTCCCCCTGCTGGACACACTGTGCGGTGGCTGTTCATCACCCAGCCTTCCCCAGCCAGCTTTCACCAGGAGCTCCCTCTGCCCACCCATGCTGTCCCGTCATCCAGGCAGGCCCTTTCCTTCACAGCCCTGGCCACATCTGCAATGCCTGTTTCTCTCTGTCTTTCTCCTTTTTTTTAAATGCAGTTATCACTTGAGGCTTTGCCATCTCATTCCCCACCATGACTTCAGTCCTCAGCACAGCACACTTGGCATGCCTGCATGGTGAATACATTAACAATGGTGGTTGCAGCATCGCCCTCCCCTCTGACTGGACTGTGACGGGATGCGAGAAAGTCTGTTTTACACTTGCATAATCTAGAAGGAGCAGGGAGCAGTGGCCAAGGGCGCAAGTTATGACTCTGCCCTTCTATCGCTGTGAGAAGTGGGACCAGCTTAAAGGCTCTAGGCCTCAGTTCTCCTGTGTTGGGGGACTCCAAAAATTCAGTCACTTAAAATGCGGAGTTGCAGCCTTGGGAAGGTAGTGAAGAGGCTGGAGGGAGCCTGCCCGGCTGACTGTGGGTTTGAGAATCTTAACGCCCCATCCCAGTCCTTCCTGGAGCTGGCTGTGGTTGGTGGCTCCGCTCTGCTGTGGACATCGTGGGCATGCCTGTGGGCCCCTGGACTGCCTGGGGTTCCCTGGACAGTGACAGCAGTCTCCCCATGAGGGACTTCCCGGGTAGCTGGCACTCATTTTATTGTTTTGTTCCCCAATGACTGGGCAAGAATATTGGGCCTCCAGAGAGGGGTGTGCCCCCTGTTGTCTCACCTAACCCGGGGTCCACCCCTGCAGAACATAGAACCGAAGCTGCGCCCACTTGAGACGGGTTTGGGCCGAGAACGGGAGCTGGGTGCCTGTCCTGCTTCAACAGGAGTTCACGTTGGCTCAGGGCTTCAGTCCTCCTGCCTGTCCTGATGGGTCACTGTGAGGACCAAATGAGAGAAGGAGCTGGAAATACTTTGTAAAGTGCAGAGCATTATTCCACGGTAGGGGATACTGGTTTTACAATCACTGAAACCAATTTAAAGAGCAGCCCACCCAGGAACTCATGTTTCCCGTGGAGGAGCAGGAGATCCACCAACCCCACCATGCTCAGACTTTGAGGACACGAACCGGGACCTCAGCCTGGCTTCTGTGAGAGTTGTACGGACCGCCCCAGTGCGCACAGCTAGAAGACCTTGCTTTCATCTTTTTAAATGCCATTGCTGAATACATGCTCCCTTTAACACAGGGGTTTTCAGCTCACCACTGCTGACATCTGGCCAGATAGCTCTCTGTCATGGGCACTGTCCTGCACAATCTAGGTCAGCAGCAGCTCTGGCTTCTGCCTCCACGGTGCCACCGACACTCCCTTTCCCCAGCTGTGACCAGAGACATCTCCAGTCGTCGTCAGATTTCCTCTGGGGGGCACAGCCACCCCCATTTCAGACCACTGCTTTAATGAAATGGGTCTCTGTGAGGCAGAGATCCATTTTTCTGGTTGTCAAAATCCAGATCAGAGGAGTTAAATGACCTGTTAAGGCTCACACCACTAATGCCACCTCCAAGGCTTATGGGTACTCTCCACCCCTTATTACAGCCACTACCCAGCCACCAACATGAAATAGCCATTTAGAAAATGTTTGTCACGCACCTACTATATGCCAGGCAGTGTTCTATTTGCTCAGTAAATATCACTGATCCTCGGTATCGGGCAGGATGGGGCGGAAGAATGGAAAAGGTGGACAGCCCTGTTAGTTTCCGTTGCTGCTGCAACAACTTACTACAGACGGAGTGGCATAGCTTACGGCTCTGGAGGTCAGAAATCCAAGTTCAGTTTCACTGATCTAAAATCAAGACGTCGGCAGGCCTGTGTTCCTTCTGGAAGCTCTGGAGGAGAAGCCCCTTTCTCCTCCTCCAGAGCCGGCGGTGTAATGGTTTTTCTCCCGCCTGACCTCTGCTTCCATCCTTGTATCTTCTCTTCCCGACTCTGACCTTTCTGCCTGCCTTTCCCAAAGCTGCCCATGATTACATTAGGCCCATATGGGTAATCCAGGATAACCTCCTCCATCTCAAGATCCTTAATTCAATCACATCCGCAAAGTCCTTTTGCCATGTGAAGTGACATTCACAGGTCTCAGGGGTTAGAATTTGAGCGTCTTGGGGGGCCATTTCTCCAGCCTACAGCCGTCTGCCCCCTGGCCCCCACAGATTTGTTCCCACCCCACAGACAGAATACATTCATCCCATCCAAAGTTTCCCAGGAGTCTCAACCCATTGCAGTATCAACTCGAGTCCAAAATATTTCCTAAGTCTCATCTGCTCAAAGTTCCCAAGTATCCTCATCTTATCATGTAAATCAGGTATGGGTGAAACTCCGGTTGTAGCCCACATTAGGGCAGAATTGCTGTCCATGTGTGTACCTGGGAAACGAGGAAACCAGTTATCTGCTCCTAAGTACAGCGGTGGGCCAGGCACAGAGTAGCAGTTACAGAAACTCCTGTCACAGGAGGGAGAAAAATGAAAGGAAAAAAGGTGCCACCAAACCCCAGCAGGTTTGAGGTCCATTGGGCTGACTCCGCCAGGCTGCAAGGCCCAAGGGTAATTCCCTGTGGCCAGGGCTCCACTCTTGGAGTCACCCTTCTTCTTTCATGAACGGTACTCGTTTCATCCACCTCCTTCCTGCCTGTAGAATTTTGGGAGTCTGACCGCTTTCCTTTATTTTGTCCTACCTTTCTCCCATTCGGTTCAAGTTGGCAGTGTTTCTGCTGGGATGACATTCTTAAAAACCACGTGGGTCTCTAGAATTCATTCTGTTAGACAAGAGGTTCCTCCACAAATCTTTCCTAGATCATCCCAGCTCCGTTCCTGGCTTCTGCTGAGATGTGAAAGGGGGCCCATGGACCATATGTCTCCTCTCTTCAAAGTGCCCTCAGTGTGGTCGAATGCTCTAAACCTTGGATCCTCTGCAGTACTGGCAGAGGGTGTTTCAGGCACACCCTCAGTGTTCTCTCCAGAGCATGCTTTTCTGGCAGGGAACCTTCTAATTTTCATGTCTTTTGTAACCTGGATAGACTGAGAGTTTCCCAAATCATCAAATCCCAGTTCCTTTTTACTTAATGGTTGTTCCTTCAGTCTTTCCCTTTCCACTAACATTTTATTCTAAGCAGAAACCAGACTGCATCTTCAGTACTTCGCTTGGAAATCTTTTTGGCTAAATATCCAATTCCATCATCTACAAAATTCACTTTTCACTTAACTGTAGGACATAATTCAGCTAAGAGTTTGCCACTGCGTAACAGGACTCCCTCTCCTCTAGTCGCCAATGGCATCTCCCTTATTTCCTCACCAGCGGCACCTTGATACCCACATTTGTCATCCTCTGTTTAGGATTATTTCCCTAAGGTGATCAAAATTTTCCATAGAGTGCTTCTCCCTTCTTCACGAGTCCTCCCTGAATCACAGGGCCCAGGGATGAGGCCTTAGAAACCTTTGGGGGGTTGTTCTTCAGCCTACCGAAAAGGCTGCTAAGTTTGTGGGCTGGCCACCAAACCTTCATTGACTGCATCTCCTTTGCACAGGGCTAGGTCAGGCGCTGTGAGGGCCACGGGCACAGCACAGCTCAGCTGCCCAAACCTGCTGGTTTCCCCCAAATAGTCCATTTCGTGGTTTTTGTTCCAGTGTAAACCTAGTAGTGTTCTTTTTCAAAAGTATCCTGATTTTGGTGATGAATTTTCTGGTCATTCTTATTTATCTTAATTCTTGGTCTTAAGATTGTAAATATACAATCTTATGGAGACGAAACACATGGACAAAAAATCATCAAGTAGTTTTAGTTAAGTGCTTTATAAATATCCTGACCATTAGATGCTTCTAATCATCCGTCAGTGCACAAGACAGCCCCCACAGGTGTCTACCAGGCCCTGACCACCTGGAATTTCAGGTGTGGGACTCAAGGCCTCTACGACTTCATATTCTAAGTATGGTTCCCAGACCAGCAGCATCAGCAATATGTTGTTAGAAATGCAAATTCTTGGGCCCTGTCCAGAGCCCACTGAATCAGAAACTGTGGATGGGAACCCCACAATCTGTTTTAACAAACCCCCAAAGCAGAACATCTCACACGCACGCACGTGAACATACGTGTCCCCATGCGCACACACACACTCATTCTCGGTGGCGCCCAGGCATGGTCATAGCACAGTCAATACCGCAGATGCCGTCCTGTTCAGAGAATTGCCCACTTGCCCCTGCCCTCTGTTTTCTCATCTTCAAAGTGACAGCAGCACGTGGGTTGAGATGATTTTGCTAAATGTTAGTTTGGTAGAAATAGTTCTTTGGTTCTAGAGATCTATTTCAAAAGTATTTTTTTTAATCAAAGTAACACATTTCATTTTTCACTTTTCTTGACTTTTGGCAGGAGCTAAGAAAAAGCCTGGAACTTAGTGTAAATCTACAAAAAAAACAGAAGGATGGTTCCAGTGACGAGTGTGACTCCATTGAAGAAGATGTACTCTCTGAGCCCGAGCCTGAGGACCAGGCGCTGGTGGGCCACCCCAGACCTGAGCCCCCTCTTTCCCATGGGGACTCAGTGCAGAAGGATGTTTCTGAGGACCAGGAGCCACAAGGACACCCTCCACAGGGCCCAGACACCCTTGTGGTGCTGGAGTTTAACCCGGCTTCCAAAAGTAAGCTCTGCCTTATGCGGCATTTCTTTGCCTTTGGTGTCTCTGGATCTAATAGTAGGTCTTAAGTTTTCAGCCACGCTTTGAATTCGGCTTTGGGTAGACCGTCTTACAGGCCAGAGAGGTGTGTCAGTCAGGCCTCTGCTGATTGCAAGAGGCAAAGGCCTCCAAATGACCCTGGAGTTCCAGGTGGTATGTGTCTGGCAGTCACAGGGACTGTCCTGTGCATTGTGGGGTGTCTAGGAGCATCTACGTGCCAGCATCTACGTGGCCTAAGCCAAAGGGACTGTGTATGGGCTTGGAGAACTGAGGAGTCCAGAGTTTGGCTGGGCTCATTTTTCTCCTCCTCTTCTCCTCCTTTCCCTTCCCCTTCCTTCTGTCCTCTTCCCTCCCCTCCCCTCCTCTTCCTTCCTCTCCTTTCCTTTGCCTTTCCTTTCCCTGTTCATTCTCTTTGCTTCTCCTTCCCTTCTTCCTTCTCATCTCTTCCTTCTTTTGTCCTGTCTTGGTACCACTCTCAGGTAGGCGCTCTGCATAAGGACACATAATTGAAACATTGGCTTTGCAGCTCCATCAGAAAGTGGGTTTTTCTTCCTAAAAGCTCTAGCAAAAGTCCCAGCCTTGGCTTTCTTTTTTTAAGATTTTATTTATTTATTTTTAGAGAGAGAGGATGGAGGGAGAAAGAGAGGCAGGGAAACATTGATGTGAGAGAGAAACATTAATCAAATATGTCGGAGACTGAACCTGCAACCCAGGCATGTGCCCTGACTGGGAATTGAACTGGCAACCCTTCACTTTGTGGGACGATGACCAACCAACTGAGCCACACCAGTCAGGGCCCAGCCCTGACTTTTAAACCCACATTGGGTTACATCTCTGAACTAGTAGTCACTGTGGCACCAGTTCGCCAGGTCCAGCTATGGGTGTGGTTGTCACCACCCAAACCACATGAACTGATGATAGTTTCCAAAGAAATTCAAAGCATATCTGAAGGAGGCAGAAATCATGCTTGCAGGCACAACCCAGAGGAGGTTTTTCCAGCAGTGTTTCCAGGGTTTGTCAGAAAAGACCCTGGGGAAAAAAACAAAAACAGCTGATGGGGTGTGGGGGCTGGCCTACCTGCGACATCCGTGTCTCCCATCCTCGCTGGCATGGCCTCTGCTTGCTCCTGCGGGGTGTACCTGTGTTTGGAATCAGCTACCAAGACCAGCCAGTTGGGCAGCATGAGTGAACCTGAGGAAGGAGAAACGAGGGACTGGTTGGAACCAGGCGCTGTGTGTGTTTGTCTACTTGGGGTGCTATAGCCAGGTACTGCAGACTGGGGGAAGGGGGGGCGCTTAAACAGCAACAGAAATTTGTTCTCTCACAGCTCTGGGGGCTGGAAGTCCGGGCCCAGGGTGCTGGCGGGGCCGGTTTCTCCTGAGGCATTTCTCCTTTTGGCTCGTTGGTGTCTGTCTTCCTGCTGTGTCTACGTATGGTTTTCCCTCTGTGTGTGTCTGAATGTCTTAATTTCCTCCTCTTATTGGGACACCAGTCAAATTGGATTAGCGCCTCCCATAAACTGACTGGTTTTACCCTAATTACTGCTTTAGAGGCTGTATTTCCATGGTCACATTCTGAGGCACGGGGGCCGGGGGGGGGCGGTTAGGACTTGACCACATGAGTTTTGGGGAGACGTAACAACAGGTAGCCACACCCAACAGTTGATGTCACCAGCACTTCCTCCCCTTCCACTCAGAGCCCGGAACCCGGCTCCCTGCTCTCCCTTCGAGGCTCAGCCCAGAGCTGCTTCCTTCGAGAAGCCTTCTCTGCGCACCCAGCACGGCCCACTCTCGCTGCCCCTGCGGCTTCCGAGCACCCTCAGGCGCTGGCCCTGCTGGCCCCAGTTGTCCTCCTCCCCTCTGGCCTGTGAACTTGGCCTGTGCCCTGGCCGGCCCAGCCCTCCATTGCGGCCCCAGCACGCGGCACTCACTCTGCACACCCGAGCGGCTCGGGAAATCTTTGTCAAGTGGATGACGGAGCTGTGCCCACCCGCGGAAGCATCTGGTGGTTGAGGCAGTGCTAATATCCGTCTGTGTGACACCCGCTGGGTGCACGTGGCCGTGGATAGTGTTTTCTCCCTGAGGTAGGGAGGGCAGGGAGGGCTGTGGGGGGCTGACCAAGCCCCGCCCTGGCACTGGTGTCAGTTGCTGGTGTGCAGGACCAGGCCTCAGGAGGAGCGCAGCTGGGCCCAAGGCAGTTTGGGAGTGACACGGGTGTAGAGCAAAAAGAGGGAACTTTACTTCTTGGACATTTCACACTTTTTAACAGTTAGATTGCTTGTTGGGCCCCGCATGGACCACCGTGGTGTCTGATCTGTGAGTGCGCTGAGGGTGGGGCACCCTCCCACCACCCCCCCTCACCCCCCCTTTCGTCAGGAGCCCTTCTCCAGCCCTGTCGGCCGGCTTCTGCTGTCCCAGCGGCGGCAGATGCCCCCTGACAGCAGCAGGAGGGAGGCCGGGGCCTGTTTTCAGGTCCCGCCGGGCCCCAGCATGGCCTGGAGTTCTGAACTAATCCTGAGCATCTGCTCAAGACCAGTCAGCAGGAACCTGGAAAGATGTGTTGGTTCTGGGCTTTTCGCCCGTTTGTTCATTCATTCATTCATTCATCCATTCATTCGTACTGGGCACATATCAGGTCCTGGGCAGTGTGCTGGGACAGCTGGGCCCAGTCCCTTTTCCTCCTACAGCTCTTCATCCTAGAAGGGAAAATAGACAATAAGTATATAAACACATAGACAATAACAATTGTCAGTATTTCTTGGGTTCTAATTAACACGTACCAAGCAGTATTTCAAAGGCTATACGTATAGCCCTTCATCTCGCTCTCACCACAACCCTAAAGAAAGTGCTTGTTTTACAGACAGGGAGCTGAAGCCCAGAGAGGTCAGATAACCTGCCCAAGGTCACAGCGAGGAGGGGGCCGAGGGGGACCCACTCCTTGGAGGTCTGAGCGTGGAGCCCGGGCTCTTCATCACTGGACTGAGTACACAAACAAGACAGTCCCAAGTGGTACCTGGGCTCCGAGGAGCTGGTGCGCACCTCGCCCAGTCTGGTTGTCCTTCTGAGTTGGGGGACAAATGGGAGGCTGGCGGGCCTGATAGGAGGGCACGTTGCTGCCTCTCCGACCGGTAGAGCTGGATGGGTGGCGATTCAGGGCTGTCGCTGAAGCAGACAGATGGCCAGCCCAGGTGTCGGCACAGCTGGACCACTGACAGCCTCAGCTCGCGGACGGGGGCTGTGTGCCCTGAGAGAGGTGGGGCGGCTGGCTGGAGCCCCGATGACTGCCTGGCCCTGCTCTCCCTCCCATTTGTCCTTGTGAGTGGCGGGCAGTGGGTGAGCAGCAGAGAAGGGCGGAAGTTGTGTTTCCAATGACTGGAACAGGAGAGGGCTGGGTTAGCTTAGGGACTCAGAACCTTGAAGTTGTGAAGATTAGAAAACGGGACACTGGTTAGGGATGGGGGTCAGAGCAGGACACTGGTAGCTGGAGTGGTCAGAGGAGCCTCAGAGGACGTGATGTTTCAGCTGGGACAGGGATGAGGAGGAGGCAGCAGCCACGGGGACAGCACCCCAGGTGCCAGAACAGCAAGCACAAAGGGTTTAAAGTGGGAAGAACTTGGTGCAGCCAAGGACAGAAACAGGGCCAGGGGAGTGTGGTGCTAGATGAGGCCAGCAGTGAGCCCCAGCCACCTTCTGAGAGCCTGGGTCCTCTGGAGCCCTAGAGAGTACCCTTCACAGGCTTTTGCTGGCTAAGGCGGGCCTCCAGGCCCGTGTCCGCAGGACTGACTCATGGAGAGGAGGCGGGCCGTGGGTAGGCGAGGGCTCCGAGCCAGGCAGTCCTGGTCCAGCGCTGAGTCTGTGCCTCCCAGCTCTGTGACCTTGAACAAATGACTTGACCTCAGAGCCCTGCCCTGTAGTAGTGTGTATTAGTTTCCTGCTGCTGCTGTAATAAATCACCACAAACTCTGGGTGGCTTAACACAAATTTGCTGCCTCACAATTCTTCATAGGTCGGAAGTTCGACATGCATCTCACTGGGCTGAGGTTGGGGTGAGCAGGGCTGCGCCCCCAGGAGGCTCTGGGGGAGCACGCGCTGCCCTGGCCGGCACCCACTGTCACAGGTTGCCAGGGGGCTCGGCTCCAGGCCCCTGCCTGCCTCTGCAAGGCAAGCAGGGTCCCGTCTCTCTGCCTTTCTTCCGTGGTCACACCTGCCTCTGCCCCACCTCTCCTGCCACCTCCTGAGTGTGTGTGAGAGTTGTCGTGGTAAAGCGTACCTGACACAGAACCTGCCGTTGCCCTCACCGTGAGGAGCGCAGCTCCACCATTACTGAGCACGCTCACACTGTGCGCAGGCGCCACCGCTGTCTGCAGAAGTTTTTCTTCACCCCAAACTGAAACTCTGTTCCTCTTCCACTGTTAGGGACTCTTGTGATTACATCCAGTTCACGGGGATAATCCAACATAATCTTATTTTAACATCAGCTCCTTAGCATGGCTAACTCCCTTTGCCGGGGATCCTGATGTGGCCGTCTTTGGTGGGCATGTTCCGCCCAGCATCTCTCTTCCAGGACGGCGGGGGAGCCAACCTTGTGGTTGTCTCCTCTCCCCATTCTTTGTCTTGTCTCATTAGACATCCTGGTCACATACTGGTCTGCGTTGCCCTGGATGTCAGACCAGCAGGGAGCCGCTGCTTCAGAAAGCGTAGAGAAACATGTGTCTTTCCAAAGTCCAGAGCGGATAGAGGAGAGGTCAGTGGAAGTCTGGAAAACCCCAGCAGTCCCCAGCACCTACTGTGAGCTCCACCACAGGCCCCTGGGGTCTTGTCTGCTGGGACTCACGTCACACTGCACTGCAGTGGGCACTCTCCGGGCTTCCGCCTGCCCAGGCCAGGAGGCGGCACCCGCAGGACTAGCTCTTCTCCCCGTGCATTCGCTGAGCTCCGGCTCCCACCGGCCTCCCTGCCGGCCGGGCTGCTTTCCTGCCTGGCGTCCCGAGCACGTCCTCCTCCTCCTCCTCGAGCTCGCAGGTCTGTGCTGGCCGCTAGGCCCCGGGGCCGTGTGCCCTGAACGTGAGCCGTTCACTCACCTCCCTCACAACTTTGTGCCATCTCCACAAACTCCCTGCACTGACTTGTGGCTGTTAGTTAAATCAGCACCTTTCTTTTCTCCTCCCCCTTCTCTTTTCACCTCCCTCCCCTCCTGTCTCCCTCCTTCCTTCCTCTTTCTTCTGCATAATTCTAGGATTGTCCCAAGCAATAATATTCATGAAATCAAGGATTGATAAGCTGGTTACATTTTTTCCCCATACACATTCAGATGTGCAATTGCTTAAAAAGTGCTCTGCCCACATGACACCTGGAATCATCACCCTGTTCCACTGGCAGTCCAGGTGCACCGCTGCAGGAAACGCTGACTCTGACGTGTGGCCTGCGGGCCCTTCACTGTCTGGCTCCATTCAGCAGCCACTCACCTGCCACATACCCTCCTGCTGTCAAACCTTTGCACGCTGTTCCGCCCCCAGCTCCATGCCCCTGGTAACACCCCCGTCTCCGTAAGGGCCCTCTCCGGCGTCTGCTGCACGCCCGCCGGCCCCACACTCCACGCTGCGTGCTCTTCCACGACCCAGTACCGGAACCCTGCTGCCCCGGGCCTGCTCTCCGAGCCGTCAGGCTGTCCTCTCCTCGCAGGCCGTAAATGTGCCGTACTGTGTTCTCTCAACTCCAGTGGCCTCGGGTGCGCCATAATTTTATGTGCCGTGCTGCTGTTTAAACCAACACCGCGTCGATCGTGAGACTTGTCCCTACTTATGCACATTGAAGTTTGAACACCAGTGTGCGTCCTGGAGTAGTTCATGTATTTGCCTAACTGCAGTGCCTGGTGCATGTGGCTCTGAGCAGCCTTTGTTTCAGTGCCTGGGTCATTCACCTCTAACCCCGCTCGAGCGTGGGGCCCAGGGCCCGGCACCAGGTGGGGGTCCAATAAATACTTGTTGAACGATTAAGTGAACAAACAAACAGATGCCTGAGTAGCATGTCCAAACTCAGCTTGCCCTCAGTATTTCACGTGTAAATAATTGTTTTCCTACAGGTAATAAAAAGGAAAGAAATTTGTCTGCTAAGCGAAAGGACAATGCTGAGGTCTTTCTTCCCAGCAAACTGGAGCCAAACCTGACTCCCCAGCCGCCCGCTGCGCTCCCAGACCAGGACAGGCCATGTTCAAGTAAGAGTCCAGGGGCCCCTGAGCAGGGCTGGGCCTGGGCCTGAGTCGTTCTCAGTAGGGTGCTGTCGTGGAGGAGTCCTCGCTTACCTGCCTTCTCCGCCAAGGTCTGAGCTGACCTTTTGCAATGTATTTTTAGTCAAGGTCTCCATAGAAACAGAACCAATAGGGAGAGAGAAAGAGAGAGGAAGAGAGATTATAAGGGACTGTCTCATGCAGTTATGGAGGCTGGCAAGTCCAATCTGCAGGGTGGATGGCGGGCGGGGGATGCGGGTGCGAGGCTGTCACACGGGAAGGGCTGGCGCTGCGGGTGAAGTCCGGCGGCAGAGTTCTCTGTTACTCGGGAGGGTGCAGTCTTTTTGTGACATTCAGGCCTTCAGCTGATTGGACAAGGCCCGGCACGTTATGGAGGGCAGTCTGCTTTATTCTACCAGTTAAAGTGTTAGTCCATCTAAAACGTCCTCTCAGAGCCCAGAGCGGCGTTGGGCCACGTACCCGGGCTCCGGTGGCCCAGCCCTGTGGACACAGAACCGTCACACCACCTTTTGGTTCTGTGACCGAGATGTGGCTATAACTGAAAATTTATTTTATGTTCGTTTTTCCTTTTCAATTAATTTGTTTACTTATATGGGTAGTAATACATACAAATGGTACCAAATCCTAAAAGTCCAGCAGAGTTTGTGGTAAAGAGCCAGTGTGCTGCTCTTCTCATGAAATGGGAGGTTGCACTGCTTGAGTGCTAGCCGGGAGCCACCTACCATTGCAAACGCGTGGTTGTATTGTATGTAAGTAGATCATGTATGTAATTTATAAGTAAACTACAGCCCTTATCACTAGCATTTGGGGCAGGTCCTGCTGTGGCCCCCGTTTTGTAGACGGGCCAGCAGGAGTGCGGGACTCACACAGCGGGAGCGTGGCGGCTGCAGGCCTCTGCGCCGCAGCGTCCCTAACCTGCAGTCCTTACTCCCTGGAGGCTGGAGACAGATCCCTGCCGAATCCAGTGGCTGGAGTGGCTGGGGGTGCGGGTTGGGGGGTGTGGCATTAACTTCTGGTTTCTATGGCCCAAAAGATCACAAAGAGTTCAAGGCATCCTGGTGTCCCAAGAATTTGGAACCCGTCTGGGGCAAAATCCGGCCCTAGCCAGCCAGCCTCCCTAGACAGGCTGAGCCAGGGACCCTGACATGTGTACTGGGGGGCTGGAGGGACTGTTTTCTGCAGGGATGGGCCAAGGGACCTGGTGGGGGAACCAGCCCCTCCTCCTCAGTCACAGTCCAGAGATCAGGACCCACGCACTCTGAGCCTGAGGCCTGAGGCTCGCAGCCCTTTTCCCAGCGTCTCAGGTCGGACGGAGGAAGTAACAGTAGCTCCACTGACTTACTGCGCATCTGTTTCGTGCCGTGTAAGTCTTGCCTTGGTTTGGGGTCCCCCGGAAGCAGACTCTGAGACAGGGTTTCGAGAGCAAGTAATGTATTTGGGAGGTGGTTCCTGGTAGGGACAGGAATGGGAAGGAGCCAAAACCGGCTTCCTCGCCAAGCAAGTTCACTGGGCAAGCACAGTGTCACCTGGCTGGGCAGTTCTGGGGGCAGTGCTGAGCCCCAGCCTCCACGTTTGTCACTGCCCCCCACCCCGGGGGCGAGGGAGCTGGGCTCCTACGCACTGTTCCTTCCTCGTGGGTGGTAGGCTGTTCCGGGGAGTTGACTCTCCAGGGACTAAGTCCCTGGCTCAGTGGGCTCCCCCACCTCTCGGCTCAGATTCTTCTTCACACCCTGCATTCTCAGACAGGCTGGTGGGGTGGTGAGAGGGCCACCAGCAGGTCTGGGTGTACAGCACCCCAACAACAACCCTGGCAGAAGAGTAGCATGGCAGACTCTGCAGCCTGACCACCTGGTGCAGGTCCCGCCCTTCCACCTACTAGCGCTATGACCTTGGGCAGATTGCTGAACCTCTCTGGGCGTCATTCTCCCATCTGCCAAACAGGTGAGAATAGCACCCTCCTCCGAGGGTGTTACAGGATTAAAGGGCTGGGCAGATAGGGCTGCTTAGAGGAGCGCCTGGCTCAGAGCAAACGATCGGTCAGGGTCGGCTGGCAAAGTCTTGGAGCTGCTTCTCATTGCCGGGGTTGGGTCAGGAGAGGTTCTGTGAAGGAGACCCTGGTGCTGCCCCCAGAGGCAGAGGGAGTGGGAGACAGGTAGCAAACTCTCAGAACTTCCTTATGGATACTGTTACCCCATTCTCCCACTTCCTAAATGAGGAAACTGGGGCTGAGAGCATGAGAGTTACTTGCCTAGAGTTAACAGACAAGACAGTGAGGTGAGTTTCACACCCAGGCTTCAAGTCCCGTGCTCTGACTGGCTCTGTAGGCTGCTCCTCTGGGGCTGGCTGGCCACAGGTGGCTCTGCAGGTGCGTGGGCATGTAGGTCCTGGCAAGCTTAACTGTGACTCAAGGAATGGTTTTCAGGTCAGTGCATGGAGCCCTGGGTTGGGGAGTGGAGGGAAGCAGTCGGGGGCTGGTATCAAGCACACAGGTCCTGGGGATTCAGTGAGAAACACATTGTCCCTGTTCTCGTGGTGTTTATATTTTAGTGGGCAGGGATAGACGACAGACCTGGAAGTTGGGTGGTGACAGTTACTACCAAGGCAGCAACTGGATGCTGATGGCTGGGCAGTGTGGTGAGAGCAGGCCTCTCTGAGGAGGGAAGACTTGAACTGAGAAATGGATGATTTCCAGGACTAGTGCTTTGCAGAGGAGAAAGCCAGTGCAAAGGTCCTGAGGTGGAAAGAGCGGCTCAGTTGGCTCAAGCACTGGAAAGAAAGCTGAAGGTAGGAGCATAGAGAGTGAGGGGGAGGCGGCTGAGATGAAGTCACAGAGGTGGGCAGCAGCCAGAGAACAGAATAAGACCAGCAGAAGGACTCGGAGCCAGGAAGATCTCTGTGGCTTTGCAGATGGGGCAGCCGTGACCTGGTTTTCATGTTAACGATATCCCTCTGGCTGTCACATGAAGTATGGCCTGTTGGGAGCTGGAGTGGAAGTCGGGTGACCAATGAAGAAACCGTTGCAGGATGGAGATGGTGGGAGTGTTACCAGTGGCTAGACTAACTGTGAGATTTTATCCTGGACAACCTGGGCAAGAACCTGGGCAGTAGGCAGCCTGCCGCGGTGGGGTAGGAGAGCCGAGACTTGGCGGTGATGGGGAGCCCTGGCTTGTCACTTGGCTGGGCTAGGTTCTGAATCTGTGCCATGATCAGAGGGGACTGAAGCAACTGCAGCTGGGGTCTGGGTCTGGACAAGTCGAGAAGCGCTAAGTCCCTGGAGGCAGACCAGGGCCTCTGGTCTGTGTGCTGCTTATGCTGGGTGTGAGCAGGGAACTGGAGGCAAACCAGGCCTGCAGGTGGGGTGGTTCCTTGCCCCCACCCCCCACCACAAAGAGCCAGGATCCAATGGACAGAGCGAGGACCAGAGCTCCCAGGGTCTTCTTGGCAAAAGCCAGAGTCTAGAAAGAGGCCTGCATGGGGCCCGAGGATGGTAGAGGTGGGAAAGGAATCACTGTTGAAGTGATGTGTTGACAAGGGCATGCCAAGGTCATAGCAGCTGATGGGTTAAAGAGCTGTTGTGTTTGTAAATCCCAATAATGGAGACGTTGTCTGTAGGGGTGAGGAGGAAGATGTCACATGTAAGGTGTCAGAAAACGCTAGTGAGTTTTGGATCTGTCAGCTTTGGTCAGATGAAGGGCTGGCAAGCGGAGAAGGAGAGAGAGGAGGAGGGGCCGTGGGACAAGCTGTAGGCTGGGGTCGCCCCGGGGCTCCAGCAGCGAGGGGCGAGCCTGGGCGGCAGTCTGAGTGATGCTGTTTCCTCTGCACGAGGACGGGCTCCACTGCCTGCTGCTCAGTTGACAAGACCCCCATCTGCACTGCTGGTACTCACTCTATGTGAAAAATAAAAATGGCTTTTCAGAAAGTTCCTCCGAAACAAGCTGCTAAAAAGAAATGAAAGCCAGGGTAAGTGTGCCGCTCTCCAGGGCCCCGGGAAGGGGGTGCAGCCCGGTGGTGGTCGGCCGTCCTGCCGGGCTCACTGCAACTCCCTCCTTCTCTCGCACGCCGTTGTCTCCAGGTGTTTCGTGTCTGAGCAATACAATGCAGAGCCAGCATTTACAAAGCACTGTACCAGTTCCTAGGCCGTATTCTGTGCATGTAAATGTAATTTTGCATTTTATTACCCAAACAACCTGTGCAGTAGGTGCTGCTATTATCAGCACCATTGTGCAGCCGGTGACTGGGGAAGCCAGTGTTGAACCCTGGCTGCTGGGCCTCTGCCTTTAACCTCTCCACGGCACGGCCCTTCCTGTGCCACCTACAATGGCAGTTGCTAACTGCATACCCCTGCCAGCCTAGTCCTAAGCAATAACGTCCAAACATCACAGGCTTGCATTGTTTGTCATATTTTTCAATCCTGATTAATATAAATATATAGCTTAATATTTTTAAAGTTAAACCATGTATCAACTAAAATCATTTTGAATACTGGATTACTTTCTTAGGGCTGCTGTAACAAAGGACTGCAATCTGATTGGTTTAAACCGCAGAATTTTATCATCTCAGAGATCTGCAGGCTAGAAGTCCAAGCTCAAGGTGTCACTGGGCCGTGTTCCTTCTGCAGGCCCTTGGGAAGATCTGTTTCCGGGAGCTCTCTCCTAGTTCCCGGGAGGTCCGTGACTTGTGGCGGCATGACCTCAGCCTTCGCATGGTGCTGCCTGTGTTGTGCGCCTGTCCTTGTGCCCACGCTCCTCCTCTCTGTCAGGACCCCAGTCACGCTGGATGAGAGCTTCCCTGGTGACCTCATCTTAATTCTCTCATTTGCAAATACCTCGTTTTCGAACGAGGTCACAGGAACTAGGAATTGGGGTTTCAACATCTTTTGGGGGAGACACAATTCAACCTGTAACACATACCTTTATGTATGGCATTTTGAGAAGTAGAGCTTAATTAAATAACTAACTTAATTAACT